ACCCATTTTAACTCATTTTAACTCGGAGGTCCCGAGTTTTCGACATGACATGAACGGGATACTTCGTGACGTCATTGGGTTCCCCACCCCCACTTTATAGTCGTGCTCGATTGCGCATGCCAGTTTTGAGACTACTGAAGTGAGCAGGCTCCGACGCATACAGGGAAGACTAAACCCCTCATCAACCTGGGACATTTCATGTACGTACAGCTGTCATTTTAACAAGGAAATGTACTGTTATTATACCATATGCATTTATATAATCAATTTCTTGACTTACGCTTGTAATTTGGTGTGTTTTAGTGACAATAACAAGCCATTTACAATCTTATTTCGATTTCACACTGTAGGCCTACTAGATGTCTGTCATTCATCATCAGATTGCTAGAGATGTCAAGTGTTGTTGGCAGGCACTGGCAACCCTATATATGTTTATTGGCTGGGTAACATGGGCTATCCCGCTGAAGTGGGTGTTTTAAAAAATGGAACACTAAAGATACGAGTAAACCACCATACTGTAGCCTAACCTAATGGGTGTTGTTTACAGTATTCGATCTATTTCCTGAAAAGAGATCTAGGCTCCTTGCTTTCAAGTGTACTGAAGTAATGGTTAAATTCAGAATGAAAATATAACTTGTTTTTATGGGGGGTTTCCAGGCTACTAGGCCTACTTGGCAGTTCTTACGATCAAGCATGTTGTTCTGGCAGCTTACCTTGTACACAAATATTGGCAATGAAAACAATGTAGCCTAACTGATGGGAAGGTAGCTACTACATTTTTTTCATTTGCCCCCCAAAATGATACATTGTTTCAATGCAGTGTCACTCTAACTAGCTCTATCTTTGATAAAAGTATCATTGCCATATCCGGTTGGAAATGTGTTGTTTTTATTTTACTCATGTATAAGAACTTTATTTATAGAGAGCACATTTCATACACCAGTTCAATGTACTAGCAGGAGCAGGCTGGTGTGAGTGATGAAGCTTACTCATAATAGGCTACTCATTGGTTTTGTTTGGCTTTGGGGCTGTCTTTGGTTTTATCTGGAACTGCACATGGAAGAGAACTTCCTGCTAATATTTATATGGTCATTCACACAGTGACTGTTGTCTCTTCTGGCTCCTGCTTTGCTGTTGTGTCCAAGTGGTCTAAAGAGCTTATCTTTGGTTGTGTCACCATGGTAGCTCTATTTAAGTGACCTTGTTTGATCAAAGTCATGAAGGGGAGGAGGGTTTGACTTCTTTGGGAAAACTCGTTAATAACAGAGGGATGTTGGTCTCCAGCAGGACATGTTTGTTGGGTATCATACTTGATTGATTCTTGGACAAAAATGGGAGCTTGGAAGACTGACATGTTTTCTCTGCTTCAGATTCAAGTTGTTGTGAGATGATGCACCAGAGAAACAAACAGCCATGTGAAAAGAACAATGGGCTATGTGAAATGCCAATTTTGCAAAGAAACCGAATTTTGCCTACCAAATTGGAGTGAGTAATGCATGTCCTCTTAGTCCTTTATTTCAGACAGCCTTTTTTCTCTGAACTAGCTATGTCCATGTCATGTTAGGTCAAATAATATATACAGCATCCAGCCGTAGCACTAGCAGCAAGGCATAATGAAACAAGATTCCAAACCTCCCTTATCAGTCATCAGCCTCTTCTGTCCCGCATTCCCTTCAGTGTGAAATGTTTAGTTATGCACTCAGTCAGTCTTATCTATGTTGCTAGTCCACTCCCATGGAGAGAGGGGCAGCCTACATGGACATCCAAGTGTCCAAATGCCTGTGATTAGATACGACTGAACCAGTTCACCCTCCTCTCCCAGTCCGGTGTGAGTCAGGACAGTCAGGCGTCTGGACTGGACTGCAGCCCTCCTACACTGGGGTAAGGAACATTTAGATTTTATAGCTAAGAGATTATAGGGAGGACACGTCAAGCAAGCAAGACTTCAGTTCCTGGCCTGCAGGCCATGAGATGTAATTTTAGAATGCCAGTGAGAACTGAAGGAAGAGAATCCGAAAAGGATCTCATCCACACTGAATTAACAAGATGTTTCCTCGACAGTCTATCACATATGTTGCTTGGATGATGGCTGTGGAGAGACTAGCCTACTGAATAATAGTTCCTGGGGTGAACATTACATTTATTTTACATTTTAGTCATTTAGCAGACGCTCTTATCCAGAGCGACTTACAGTTAGTGAGTGACATTTTTCATACTGGCATATTAGTATAACATAGCTTTTATGTGTCATGCCCTCAGTGAACATTTGCAAGGGCATATTTTACATGATAACAAGACCTTATTAGGACTCAAAATAGAACAATGTCACAATTTATGTAATGACCACTTTGGATTGTTGGAAACTAGATATTAGTATGTTGACGATGAAAGAGAGGCCTAGATATACATTTTGATAATAAAAATCAAGATGAGATGTTTTGTCTGCAATATAAAACTAGGTACCAGATCCTATCTACAGTGCATTCAGAAACTATTCAGACCCCTTGACTTTTTCCACATTTTGTTACTTTACAGCCTTATTCTAAAATGGGTTAAATTACATTTTTTCTCTCATCAATCTACACACAATACCCCATAATGACAGAGCGAAAACAGATTTTTAGAGATGTTTGCAAATTTATATATTAAAAAAAAAAATGAAATACCTTATTTACTTAAGTATTCCGACCCTTTGCAGCATTGAAGGGCCCCAAGAACACAGTGGCCTCCATCATTCTTAAATGGAAGAAGTTTGGAACAACCAAGACTCTTCCTAGAGCTGGCCGCCCGGACAAACTGGGCAATCGGGGGAGAAGGGCCTTGGTCAGGGAGGTGACCAAGAACCCAATTGTTACTCTGACAGAGTTCCGGAGTTCCTCTGTGGAGATGGGAGAACCTTCTCTGCAGCACTACAACAATCAGGCCTTTATGGTAGAGTGGCCAGACGGAGGCCACTCCTCAGTAAAAGGCACATGACATTCCTCTTGGAGTTTGTAAAAAGGCACGTAAAGGACTCTCCGATCATGAGAAACAAGATTCTCTGGTCTGATGAAACCAAGATTGAACTCTTTGGCCTGAATGCCAAGCATCACGTCTGGAGGAAACCTGGCACAATCCCTATGGTGAAGCATGGTGGTGGCAGCATCATGCTGTGGGGATGTTTTTCAGCGACAGGGACTGGGAGACTAGTCAGGATCGAGGGAAAGAAGAACAGAGCAAAGTACAGAGAGATCCTTGATGAAAACCTGATCCAGAGCGCTCAGGACCTCAGACTGGGGTGAAGGTTCACCTTCCGACAGGACTGCGACCCTAAGCACACAGCCAAGACAACGAAGGAGTGGCTTCGGGACAAGTATCTGAATGTCCTTGGGCGGCCCAGCCAGAGCCTGGACTTGAACCCGATCGAACACCTCTGGAGAGACCTGAAAATAGCTGTGCAGCGAAGCTCCCCATCCAACCTGACAGAGCTTGAGAGGATCTGCAGAGAAGAATGGGAGAAACTCCCCAAATACAGGTGTGCCAAGCTTGTAGCGTCATCCCCAAGAAGACTCGAGGCTGTAATCGCTGCCAAAGGTGCTTCAACAAAATGCTGAGTAAAGGGTCTGAATACTTATGTAAATGTGATATTTCAGTTTGAATGTTTAATAAATTAGCAATGCTTCTCTCTCACGTCTCTCAAGTCATAAATCCAGTAGACCTACTTACTCAAGCTTTTCAGTAGCCCATCATCGTGATGAAAAGCCCCCCCCCCCCCCGTCCTCTATGCTCATTCCCCTGAGGGAGAGTGTGTGGGTGGTTGGGCGGGAGATGGGGACTGCGGGGCGGTTCTGCTCGGGAAGCAGAAATACTGCAGCCTGTGCACTCACCGCTGAGATTTACTGAGCTCAACTGAAGGTCTCCCCCTGCCTCGGAGGGCAGGGGGGGCTCGGTGCATAGGCCAATGGAGTAGCTGGAAGGTGATTCTGCTGTGCTGTCTCTACTGCAGTGGGAACCACAACAACAGAGAAACCTTATTTTTCTCACTCAGCTCTGCTTGCCTCGGGCCTTGTGATAAAGCCGTGAGAAAAATAAAGAGTTGTGAGATTTCACTCTTGACATAATGACGTCAGATAAGGGCTATTTTAGGTAACATCAAATGCAACATGTTCAGGCTTCAACAGCGTGGGCTGTAGTTCATTCATTTGCCATGAAAAATTGAAAGGGGATTGTGTGTGTTTAGTGTGAAAAATGGACAACATGCATGGCCACATATTTCTTTATTTTCGTACTTTTAGAAAACATTGCGGTGTGTTTATGCGTGCGTGTGCATGTTTGTTCACTAATGCTGGGTCACAGTCAAACTGTCCCAATCCTGTATTATATAAGAGTCCTCCTTATCTCAATACTATCCCCAGTTATTCAGTCAGACCAGACATCAGCCTGGGGGTTAGACTGGCAGAGCTGCCAGATCCAGGATCAGACCAGACATCAGCCTGGGGGTTAGACTGGCAGCGCTGCCAAATCCAGGATCAGACCAGACATCAGCCTGGGGGTTAGACTGGCAGCACTGCCAGATCCTGGATCAGACCAGACATCAGCCTGGGGGTTAGACTGGCAGCGCTGCCAGACCCAGGAAGAGGACAAAACTATGTTCCCCTGACAGAGAAGCAAAATGGCTTAACTTCAGAAGAAATGGCCAGAGGGCAACATTTAGATACAGAGCTTGGTAGGAGGATAGCTTCAACACTAATGGAAAACACAATATCAATCCATATCCAGACAGTCATATCAACAGCTAAACCTCATCAGTAGGCAGCATTACTGTACATCATTATATTTTCCTATTTTGTTAAAGTTGGCCTATGAGTGCTATAAGTAACAATGCCCTCACTCCTCTCTTCACAGCGTGCACTGGGTCCGTGGGCATTGAGTCCATTCTGCCACTGCGCCCCTCGTGGATGACAGAGTCTGAAGAGCCTTCTCCTGTCTACTTTAGCTCTGCCTGTTTTCTGTCCTCTACAATGGAGGGGGTAACTGTGGACAACCTCATTAACTTTGATATCCCTTCATGTTCAGACGATACAGCCGCCTTATTTGCAGGTCCTCCTAGTGGGGCGCTGCTCCACACAGACATTTTCTCCTCTGAGCCGCTGGTCCCAGAGCCTGCCTCCATGGTTCCCCTGGAGCCACTGTTGCCTGAGCCCCTGGCCCCCATGCCCAGCTCCCACCACCATTGTGGGGGAGAGGACGGGGACAGTGATGCCACAGAGTCGGCAGACAGTGAGAATGACATGGACCCACACTCCCAGCAGTGGAACTCCAGGCGCTCATCCTCCTCGTCCAATCACAGTGCAGAGGTCGGGGGAGAGGCAGCGGAGAATCAGGCGTTCATGAAGACTTACGTTGAGAAGGTGTTTCATGGAAAGTAAGAACACCCTGGATTCTCTGAATGTGGGGTGGTGTGGGTCTCCCTGAGGGACTGTACAGTATGTGTAGCTAGAATGAACTATTTTACAGTGGTACTTAAACATGGTAAAGGTATTTTATGAGTGTGTATTATGAGTGTACTGTACTGAACAAAAATATAAACGCAACATGTAAAGAGTTGGACCCATGTTTCATGAGCTGAAATAAAAGATCCCAGAAATGTTCCATATGCACAAAAAGCTTATTTCTCTAAAATGTTGTGCACAAATGTGTTTGCCAAGGTAATCATCCACCTGACAGGTGTGGCATATCAAGAAGCTGATTAAACAGAATGATCTTTACACAGGTGCACCTCGTGCTGGGACAATAAAAGGCCACTCTAAAATGTGCAGTTTTGTCACACAACACAATGCCACAGATGTCTCAAATTTTTAGGGAGCGTGCAATTGGCATGCTGACTGCAGGAATGTCCACCAGACTGTTTCCAGAGAATTTAATGTTTTTTTCTCTACCATAAGCCGCCTCCAACGTTGTTTTAGACAATTTGGCAGTGTGTCGAACCCACCTCACAACCGCAGACTACGTGTGTGGCGTTGTATGGGCGAGCGGTTTGCTAAAGTCAACGTTGTGAACAGAGTGTCCCGTTGTGGCGGTGAGGTTATGGTATGGGCAGGCATAAGCTACGGACAACGAACAAAATAGCATTTTATCGATGGCAATTTGAATGCAGAGATACCGTGACGAGATCCTGAGGCCCATTTGTTGTGCCATTCATCCGCCACCATCACCTCATGTTTCAGCATGATAATGCACGGCCCCATGTCGCAAGGATCTGTACACAATTCCTGTAATTCCAGTTCTTCCATGGCCTGCATACTCACCAGACATGTCACCCATTGAGCATGTTTGGGATGCTCTGGATTGACGTGTACGACAGCGTGTTCCAGTTCCCGCCAATATCCAGCAACTTCGCACAGCCATTGAAGAGGAGTGGGACAACATTCCACAGGCCACAATCAACAGCCTGATGAACTCTATGTGAACAATATGTCACGCTGCATGAGGCGAAATGTGGTCACCCACCAGATACTGACAGGTTTTCTGATCCACGTCCCTACCTTTAAAAAAAAAAAAAAGGTACACTACCTGACCCAAAGTATGTAGACACCTGCTTGTCGAACATCTCATTCCAAAAAATAATGGGCATTAATATGGAGTTGGTCCCCCCTTTGCTACTATAACAGCTTCCACTCTTGTGGGAAGGCTTTCCACTAGATGTTGGAACATTGCTGCGGGGACTTGCTTTCATTTAGCCACAAGCATTAGTGAGGTCGGGCACTGATGTTGGGCGATTAGGCCTGGCTCGCAGTTGACGTTCCAATTCATCCCAAAGGTGTTCGATGGGGTTGAGGTCAGGGCTCTGTGCAGGCAAGTCAAGTTCTTCCACACCGATCTTGACAAACCATTTCTGTATGGACCTCGCTTTGTGCACGGGGCATTGTCATGCTGAAACAGGAAAGGGCCTTCCCCAAACTGTTGCCACAAAGTTGGAAGCACAGAATCCTCTAGAATGTAATTGTATGCTGTAGCGTTAAGATTTCCCAGATTTGTCCGTTGGACTGCCAAATGGTGAAGCGTAATTCATCACTCCAGAGAATGTGTTTCCACTACAGCCGACGCTTGGCATTGCACATGGTGATCTTAGGCTTGTGTGCGGCTGCTCGGCCATGGAAACCCATTTCATGAAGCTCCCGACGAACAGTTCTTGTGCTGATGTTGCTTCCAGAGGCGGTCCCGTTCTGTGAACTTGTGTGGCCTACGACTTTGCGGCTGAGCCGTTGTTGGGCCTAGACGTTTCCACTTCACAATAACAGCACTTACAGTTGAATGGGGCAGCTCTAGCAGGACAGAAATTGATAAACTGACTTGTTGGAAAGGTGGCATCCTATGATGGTGCCACGTTACTGAGCTCTTCAGTAAGGCCATTCTACCGCCAATGTTTCTCTATGGAGATTGCATGGCTATGTGGTTGATTTTATACACCGGTCAGCAACGGGTGTGGCTGAACTAGCCGAATCCACTAATTTGAAGGGATGTCCACATACGTTTGTATTCAGACCCCTTCCCTTTTTCCACATTTTGTTATGTTACAGCCTTATTCTAAAATTGATTAAATAAAAAATGTTCCTCATCAATCGACACACAATACCCCATAATGACAAAGCGAAAACAGGTTTTTCAGAAATGTGTGCACATTTATTAAAATTAAAAACAGAAAACTAAATTTACATAAGTACTCAGACCCTTTGTTATGAGACTCGGAATTGAGCTCAGATGCATCCTGTTTCCATTGATCATCCTTGAGATGTTTCTACAACTTGATTGGAGTCCACCTGTGATAAATTCAATTGATTGGACATGATTTGGAAAGGAACACACCTGCCTATATAAGGTCCCACAGTTGACAGTGCATGTCAGAGCAAAAACCAAGCCATGAGGTCGAAGGAATTGTCCGTAGAGCGCCGAGACAGGATTGTGTCGAGGCACAGGTCTGGGGAAGGGTACCAAAACATTTCTGCAGCATTGAAGGTCCCCAAGAACACAGTGGCCGAGCAATCGGGGGAGAAGGGCCTTGGTCAGGGAGGTGACCAAGGACCCGATGGTCACTTCTGACAGAGCTCCAGAGTTCCTTTGTGGAGATGGGAGAACCTTCCAGAAGGACAACCATCTCTGCAGCACTCCACCAATCAGGCCTTTATGATAGAGTGGCCACACGAAAGCCGCTCCTCAGTAAAAGGCACATGGCAGCCCACTTGGAGTTTGCCAAAAGGCACGTAAAGGACTCTCAGACCATGAGAAACAAGATTCTCTGGTCTGATGAAACCAAGATTGAACTCTTTGGCCTGAATGCTAAGCGTCACGTCTGGAGGAAACCTGGCACAATCCCTATGGTGAAGCATGGTGGTGGCAGCATCATGCTGTGGGGATGTCTTTCAGCTGCAGGGACTGGGAGACTAGTCAGGATCGAGGCAACGATGAACGGAGGAAAGTACAGAGAGATCCTTGAAGAAAACCTGCTCCAGCGCGCTCAGGACCTCAGACTGGGGTGGAGGTTCACCTTCCAACAGGACAACGACCCTAAGCACACAGCCAAGACAACGCAGGAGTGGCTTCGGGACAAGTCTCAGAATGTCCTTGAGTGGCCCAGCCAGAGCCCGGACTTGAATCCGATCAAACATTTCTTGAGAGACCTGAAAATAGCTGTGCAGCAACGCTCCCCATCCTGCCTGACCAGAGCTTGAGAGGATCTGCAGAGAAGAATGGGAGAAACTCCCCAAATACAGGTGTGCCAAGCTTGTAGCGTCATACCCAAGAAGACTCGAGGCTGTAATCGCTGCCAAAGGTGCTTCAACAAAGTACTGAGTAAAGGGTCTGAATACTTATGTAAATGTCAAATGTATGTTTATTTTTATTTTTTTTCATTTGCAAAAAAATCTAAAAACCTGTTTTTGCTTTGTCATTATGGGGTATTGTGTGTAGATTTATGAGGGGGAAAATGTAATCCATTTATAATAAGGCTGTAATGTAACAAAATGTGGGGGAAAACCCAAGGGGTCTGAATACTTTCCGAATGCAAATCTGTATTCCCAGTCATGTGAAATCCATAGATTAGGGCCTCATTAATTTATTTCAATTGACTGATTTCCTTATATGAACTGTGAAATCTTTGAAATTGTTGCATGTTGCGTTTTTATTTTATTTCAGTCACAGTGAGTCTGTTTAAGGTGGGTCTGTATGAACCTCTTTTCTCTCAGGGAGGACTTTGACCAGGAGGAGAAGGCTCGCTTTGGGGAGCTGTGTAGTGGAGAAAATGGCAAGGGCAGGGAGTGGTTTGCCAGATACGTCAGTGCACAGGTAAGTTCCAGTATGTAAGCACAGAGATATGTACACTACCGTTAAAAAGTTTGGGGTCACTTAGAAATGTCCTTGTTTTCCATGAAAACATACATGAAATGAGTTTGAATAGGAAATATAGCTAAATGAATAGGAAATGTAGTCATTGACAAGGTTAGAAATAATTATTTTTAATTGAAATAATAATTGTGTCCTTCAAACTTTGCTTTCATCAAAGAATCCTCCATTTGCAGCAATTACAGCCTTGCAGACTTTTGCCATTCTAGTAATCTGAAGAGATTTCACCCCATGCTTCCTGAAGCACCTCCCACAAGTTGGATTGGCTTGATGAGCACTTCTTACGTACCATACGGTCAAGCTGCTCCCACAACAGCTCAATAGGGTTGAGATCCGGTGACTGTGTTGGCCACTCCATTATAGACAGAATACTGCTTCTTCCCTAAATAGTTATTGCATAGTTTGGAGCTGTGCTTTGGGTCATTGTCCTGTTGTAGGAGGAAATTGGCTCCAATCAAGCGCCGTCCACAGGGTATGGCATGGCGTTGCAAAATGGAGTGATAGCCTTCCTTCTTCAAGATCCCTTTTACCCTGTACAAATCTCCCACTTTACCACCACCAAAGCACCCCCGACCATCACATTGCCTCCACCATGCTTGACAGATGGCATCAAGCACTCCTCCAGCATCTTTTCATTTGGTCTGCGTCTCACAAATGTTCTTCTTTGTGATCCGAACACCTCAAACTTCGATTTGTCTTTCCATAACACTTTTTTCCAATCTTCCTCTGTCCAGTGTCTGTGTTATTTTGCCCATCTTAATCTTTTCCTTTTATTGGCCAGTCTGAGATATGGCTTTTTCTTTGCAACTCTGCCTAGAAGGTCAGCATCCTGGAGTCGCCTCTTCACTGTTGACATTGAGACTGGTGTTTTGCGGGTACTATTTAATGAAGCTGCCAGTTGATGACCTGTGAGGCATCTGTTTCTCAAACTAGACACTCTAATGTATTTGTCCTCTTGCTCAGTTGTGCACCGGGGCCTCCCACTCCTCTTTCTATTCTAGTTAGAGCCAGTTTGCGCTGTTCTGTGAAGGGAGTAGTACACAGCATTGTACGAGATCTTCAGTTTCTTGGCAATTTCTCGCATGGAATAGCCTTCATTACTCAGAACAAGAATAGACTGATGAGTTTCAGAAGAAACTTATTTGTTTCTGGCCATTTTGAGCCTGTAATCGAACCCACAATTGCTGATGCTCCAGATACTCAACTAGTCTCAAGAAGGCCAGTTTTATTGCTTCTTTAATCAGCACAACAGTTTTCAGCTGTGCTAACATAATTGCAAAAGGGTTTTCTAATGATCAATTAGCCTTTTCAAATGATAAACTTGGATTAGCAAACACAACGTGCCATTGGAACACAGGACTGATGGTTGCTGATAATGGGCCTTTGTACGCCTATGTAGATATTCCATTAAAAATCAGCTGTTTCCAGCTACAATAGCCATTTACAACATTAACAATGTCTACACTGTATTTCTGATCAATTTGATGTTATTTTAATGGACAAAAAAATTGCTTTTCTTTCGAGAACAATTACATTTCTAAGTGACCCCAAACTTTTGAACGGTAGTGTATGTCTCTGTACATAGACACACAGTAATGGCACAGTTATCAGCACAGCTTCGCTGCTGGCGCTACATATTTTAGTTTTATGGTAACTAAACACACAAGGTTTTCTTTGCAGCGCTGCAACTCCAAGTGTGTGAGTGAAGCGACATTCTACAGGCTGGTGCAGTCTTTTGCGGTTGTTCTTTTCGAGTAAGTCTGACTCCCTCTTTCACTTCAACTGTTTTAATGTTTTGCAAGGTGCATATTTTTTTCCCTGATTTGATTTATTTGTGTTGGAGACTTCAAGTATAAGCCCAAAGTGCTCTACACCTAGATTGTTGATGGGTTTTACACAAAAGAGTTTGTAAAGACAAAACAACTTCCAGGCTCGGCTCTCCATCTCAGGAGAACAATATGTGAACACGTTTGTTTGTGTGTGTGGTCAAGTACGTATGGGTGTTGTGTACAAAGCTCTTTGTCTAGACCTAAGTCACACATGAGGGAATGGATGTATTTCATTGTACAATATTATTTGCACAATCATATCCCCATTACATAACTGTGTGTGTTGCAGGTGCTATCAGATGGATGACTACAGTCCAGCTAAAAACCTCATGACCATGTGTTTCACTTACTACCACACTGGTGAGATGTGTACCTGCTTAGAACCACAAATGAGACTTATTCTCCCCTCTCTTAATGGCCTCCTTCCAGTTTCCCAACATTAATGGGGAGGGGTCAACGTTCAGGGTTGTACCCTATGTGGTTGCAACATAACCACGGAGTCAGTTTAAGCTTACTGTACATACTATTGATGTGTGCATCTCTGCATGTGTAGATTATGAGAATGTATGTGCTATTACAATGCTATTACTATGCTATTACAATGCTATTACTATGCTATTACTATGCTATGAATGTGCTATTAGGGTCTATGCAGTAACTATTCACCCTCAATAGGAAACATGATTAGGGCATGGTGGTGTATAGTAAAAGGATCCTTCCCTGCACCACAGGTAAGTCCCAGCTGTCCCCCACTGAGCTGCTGCAGCAGCCGCCTTTAGCCATGGACTCCTACCTGAATAAGGCGAACTCCTGGCTGTCTGGCAAGAAGGACGCAGCCGAGCGGCTCCTGAAGAACTCCTCTGCTGCCAAGACGGACGTCAAAGGCTTCTTTGGAGGCCTGGAGAGCAAGTTGAGGGCGTCCGCTCGAAAGAATGAGTGAGATGTATTCCTGTTAATAACAAATCAATAATGATTTGTAAACACCAATCAATAATGTTTCTTCTAAGCACTGTTTTAGACAGTGTATTTACCTACTTTTCCTCCCAACTCTTTTCTACCCAGGGAGGCAGAGAGTCCAGTCGAGGTAAAGCTCAAATCACCAGGTACGTCAATCTCATCTCTTGTTGATTGTAGGGTAGATGCCCATAAAGAGTTTAAGATTCAAGCCAGTCAGTTCCTGTGTGATTTATAACTCACTTCATGTCCTTACATGTTCTTATAACCTACCTGCCAACTGGAAAAACTACACCTTTCTTGCCTCATAAAGTATGGGTTGCCTTTATCAGTCGCTCTCTCTGCCTATCCTCTACAGTGTCCTCCGTGCCTCCAGAGAAGAAGAAAGTGGAGAACGAGAAGGTGTACCTGTACACACACCTGAAACAGCAACCCATCTGGTATGAGATGGGTGTTCATTTACAGAGATGTTTATAGATGATTTAAAATCCACACATTAACAATGAGGTAGTGAATTATTGTCCTACATGGTTGGTGTTATAGCTGTGTTGTGGTGTCTCTGGTGACAGGCATACATTGAGGTTTTGGAACGCAGCGTTCTTTGATGCAGTCCACTGTGAGAGGAAGAAGAGGTCACCTACCACCAGGTGAGAGACTGATGTACCTGCAGGGGAGATGAAAGATGATACGGCTGTTATATCACAAAACTGGGATGTTACTGTAAAGCTCCTCTTACAGCATGTGTAGTGAGAACAGAGGATAAAATGGGAGTGTGTAAGAGTGTGCAGTAGATGGATAGATTGATTGAAACATATGCGTGAACGTGGGGTGTATTTTCAAGAGGTGGGAGGTTTGTCTCTTTGTTTGTGAGCACTTGTCTTGTCTGTGTGTATAAATGAGGGGTATGGGAATGTAATGTGAGTTTCAACACAAATGAGGTATTCAAATAAGTCTCACTGTATACCTGTCTGTAGTTCACTCAAACTGCTGTTGAGCTCCTGACTGTTGCCACCAGTTTCTTCTCTAAGCTCTTGTTCTCAACCTTTGCATGTGTCTTTAACCCTTTGTCTCCTTGTGCCTTGCTGCCGGGCAGGGGGACGGATGAGGAGGAGAAAGAGGAGAGGTCTGTCCTATCTGTCTGCTCCCCCTAACACTGGTAGACCGAGAGGTAGAGAAATAGGGAGGGAAAGCGAGGAACAAGGGAAAGAGAGGGAAGAGGGGAAAGAGAGAGGACGAATAAAGGGCTGAACCGAGAAAGGAACAGATTGATGCTCAACATTGTGACTTAGAGTGAGAGAGTTGAAAATCTTGAAAGAGCCGTAGGCGTAATTTGCACTGTTCAGGATGTGCTTCACTGAGCAGAACAGGGTAAGGGCAGATCCTTGTACTGTAGTTCAATAATAGGCTCAGCATTGGAGCAGTAGGATAGATTCTGTCGTATTAACTCGTCCTCTAATATCTGCATGAACCTATCCTCTCACTCACTGTATCCACTGTGCCTCAGTCATAGCTCAAAGCTGTCAATTTTAGACAACTAATTAAGTGTGTTTCTCTTGTTAATAGAAATGTATGTTGATTGCATACAATTTTCCTCATTTTGATCATGGTACGGGCATTACTTGTCATAAGTGCCACAAAGCTTACTGCTTGCTTGTCGAGCATCAGAAAGGCATGCATTTACTTATGCAATTCTTGTTTGTTTGTTTGGTTGTTGTTATTTCTGTTTGTTTGGGTTTATTTCAGGATTAATACATTTGCCTCGAGCATAAAGCAGGGTTTTAAAAGAGTTGTTAGGTTCATGATGGCGAGAGGTTTACAGTATTCACAGCAGTCTCTAGGTATTCTGTTTTCACAGATGATTGCATGCTGACATGTTCACTCTTATCTACAGCATGAGGGGGGTTCTCTTTAGTAGGGCCTGTTGCATGTGACATGTTTTCTCTCTCTAGACCAGTGCATGTTAAGCCTAGCACTTTATAATAACTCCATGTAATAAAGCATTTATAATGGATTAATAAATAGATTATTAATCATTTATAAGTCATTACTCCCACATTTGTACATGTTAGTAACCTAGTTAATTATTCACACATTTTCTTAACTTGTAAAGTATTTAATAAAGATTCCTAAAATCATTAATAAGATTTTTAATATAGGTCCTTTATAAACCATTTACTAATAATTAGTTAAGTATTTTTGCATGGCCTCTAAAGGTTGGGCTATTTATACTTTATAAATGTTTTGAGTGACCAGTGTAATTTCTGTAAAAAGATGGACATACCATTGGTAGACATTCCATTAGTACCTGATGCTCCTTAAGGTCTCAAAATGGCCCCTAGAACATACACTACATGGCCAACAGTATGTGGACACCTCGTCAAATATCTCATTCCAAAATCATGGGCATTAATATGGAGTTGGTTACGCCTTTGCTGCTCTAACAGCCTCCACTCTTCTGGGAAGGCTTTCCACTAGATATTGGAACATTGCTACGGGGACTTGCTTCCATTCAATCACGAGCATTAGTGAGGTCGGGCACTGATGTTGGGCGATTAGGCCTGGCTCGCAGTCGGCGTTCCAATTCATCACAAAGGTGTTCGATGAGGTTGAGGTCAGGGCTCTGTGCAGGCCAGTGAAGTTCTTCCGCACCGATCTCGACAAACCATTTCTATATGAACCTCTCTTTCATGTTTCATTTTTTGGCATTAAACAGTCTGTACCTCCATTAATCTTTTCAACTGGTACTGGGGGACCTTCAGATGAGTCTTGTGAGGCCTGTGGGCGTCCTATAGCAAAAGAACCGACATGTTTGTGAGAGTCTCACCTTTGCACAGAGTTAAGTATTAGTGTGTAGCCCAAACGGTTCGGACGCTACTGTCGTGACGTGACTTACTTTAATGTATGACTGTTATTTATCGAATTACCTAACTATGTTTAATTGTCACTCAATTAAAATTATCATGTAACAATTAACTCATGAGGAATTTGGGGCACCACGGAATAAGTTGTTTAACGAGTTACCATCTCCCGAATTAAGCTCTTAGAAGATATATGTTATATATATTGATAAGTCACTTATTAAATAATTACCTCTTATCAGTCTCATTCTGAACGTCGCATAATCCTTGAACCTGCAAGAACCCTAACCTTATTGATGAATCAGCAATACACAAATTGGCTTAATTATTTATTTACTAACTAACTAAATAATAACACAATACAAACACACAGGTTATTGATTACTAATGTAATACAATGAAAACAGGTCCGTAGTGGACTGGACTAACATTAGCATGAATGCTTGGGTAGTGGAGGGGTCAGAATGGAAGGGAGAGACAGAGATTCAAACTATCATAGTTACTTTGGTGACTATGCTCACAGTAATCATAATACTTATGCACCCTAATAACGCTAATTCAGTTTAGAAATGCAACATGTATTTACGTGTAGCTGTCCTCGAGAGTTGAGTTGATGTAGGACTCTGGTTTGCCAACCAGAGGTCCCAATGTCCTTGGTAGAGTTTCTGGTCGTAGTAGTGGTTAGAATGGATACTTCAGATGTACCAGCGGTTGTCTGAGAGGGATTGTCCTCTATCTCGTGTCTTGAGTGAAAGTTCTCTAGACGACTATACAGTCGTGGTCAAAAGTTTATACTAATACTAATTTTCACAAAGTCTGCTACTCAGTTTTGATGATGGCAATTCGCATATACTCCAGAATGTCATGAAGAGTGATCAGATGAATTGCAATTAATTGCAAAGTCCCTCTTTGACATGAAAATGAACTTAATCCCCAAAAAATATTTCCACTGCATTTCAGCCCTGCCACAAAAGGACTACCTGCCATCATGTCAGTGATTCTCTCGTTAACACAGGTGAGAGTGTTGACGAGGACAAGGCTGGAGATCACTCTGTCATGCTGATTAAGTTAGAATAACAGACTGGAAGCTTTAAAAGGAGGGTGGTGCTTGAAATCATTGTTCTTCCTCTGTTAACCATGGTTACCTGCAAGGAAACACGTGCCATCATCATTGCTTTGCACAAAAAGGGCTTCACAGGCAAGGATATTGCTGCTAGTAAGATTGCGCCTAAATAAACCATTTATTGGATCATCAAGAACTTCAAGGAGAGAGGTTCAATTGTTGTGAAGAAGGCATCAGGGCGCCCAAGATAGTCCAGCCAGCGCCAGGACCGTCTCCTAAAGTTGATTCAGCTGCGGGATCGGGGCACCACCAGTGCAGAGCTTGCTCAGGAATGGCAGCAGGCAGGTGTGAGTGCATCTGCACGCACAGTGAGGCAAAGACTTTTGGAGGATGGCCTGGTGTCATGAAGGGCAGCAAAGAAGCCACTTCTCTCCAGGAAAAACATCAGGGACAGACTGATATTCTGCAAAAGGTACAGGGATTGAACTGTTGAGGACTGGGGTAAAGTCATTTTCTCTGATGAATCCCCTCTCCGATTGTTTGGGGCATCCGTAAAAAAGCTTGTCCGGAGAAGACAAGGTGAGCGCTACCATCAGTCCTGTGTCATGCGAACAGTAAAGCATCCTGGGACCATTCATGTGTGGGGTTGCTTCTCAGCCAAGGGAGTGGGCTCACTCACAATTTTGCCTAAGAACACAGCCATGAGTAAAGAATGGTACCAACACATCCTCCGAGAGCAACTTCTCCCAACCATCCAAGAACAGTTTGGTGACGACCAATGCCTTTTCCAGCATGATGGAGCACCTTGCCATAAGGCAAAAGTGATAACTAAGTGGCTCGGGGAACAAAACATTGAAATGTTGGGTCCATGGCCAGGAAACTCCCCAGACCTTAATCCCATTGAGAACTTGTGATCGATCCTCAAGAGGCAGGTGGACAAACAAAACCCCACAAATTCTGACAAACTCCAAGCATTGATTATGCAAGAATGGGCTGCCATCAGTCAGGATGTGGCCCAGAAGTTAATTGACAGCATGCCAGGGCGGATTGCAGAGGTCTTGAAAAAGAAGGGTCAACACTGCAAATATTGACTCTTTGCATAAACTTAATGTAATTGTCAATAAAAGCCTTTGACACTTATGGAATGCTTGTAATTATACTTCAGTATACCATAGTAACATCTGACAAAAATATCTCATAACACTGAAGCAGCGAACTTTGTGAAGACCAATACTTGTGTCATTCTCAAATCTTTTAACCATGACTGTACATGCCAGCTCCTTCAGAGTTTCTCCATTTCAAACGTGTGGACTAAAGTCTCACGTTTTCTGGTCTTTCTGGTCTTGTAGAAAGTCAACCATTTGCAACGTTTAGCTCACGCTTCACGTCTGCTGGTCTGTAGCATTTCAACCATTTTAAGCCGTGGGGCTTGCTGGTATGGTAGAAATTCAACCATTTGCAACGTTTAGCTCACACTTCACGTCTGCTGGTCTGTAGCATTTCAACCATTTTAAGCCGTGGGGCTTGCTGGTCTGGTAGAAATTCAACCATTTGCAATGTTTAGCTCACGCTTCACGTCTGCTGGTCTGTAGCGTTTCAGCCATTTTAAGCCTTGGGGCTTGCTGGTCTGGTAGAAATTCAACCATTTGCAACGTTTAGCTCACGCTTCACGTCTGCTAGTCTAAAGGTTGATTTGTTTTTCAAGGCTTTTTATGCACTCGGGGTAAAAGGGGCATTCTATCATGTTTACACGATCTCTGATGTCACTCGGGGTGTGGCTAGGCACTGCATAGTTTATATGAAAAACTATTATCTCATTAGAAGACTAAAATCACATTCCTATCTTCACCAAAATACTCTCATACTTAATCATATATTTTATACAACAGTAGAAATTAGTAGAAAAAAAAAACTAGTAGAAATTCCCTGTCTTAGGTCAGTTAGGATCACCACTTTATTTTAAGAATGTGAAATGTCAGAATAATAGTAGAGAGAATGATTTATTTCAGCTTTTATTTCTTTCATCACATTCCCAGTGGGTCAGAAGTTTACATACACTCAATTAGTATTTGGTAGCATTGCCTTTAAATTGTTTAACTTGGGTCAAATGTTTCGGGTAGCCTTCCACAAGCTTCCCACAATAAGTTGAGTGAATTTTGGCCCATTCCTCCTGACAGAGCTGGTGTAACTGAGTCAGGTTTGTAGGCCTCCTTGCTCGCACACGCTTTTTCAGTTCTGCCCACACATTTTCTATAGGATTGAGGTCAGGGCTTTGTGATGGCCACTCCAATACCTTGACTTTGTTGTCCTTAAGCCATTTTGCCACAACTTTGGAAGTATGCTTGGGGTCATTGTCCATTTGGAAGACCCATTTGCGACCAAGCTTTAACTTCCTGACTGATGTCTTGAGATGTTGCTTCAATATATCCACATAATTTTCCTTCCTCATGATGCCATCTATTTTGTGAAGTGCACCAGTCCCTCCAGCAGCAAAGCACCCCCACAGCATGATGCTGCCACCCCCGTGCTTCACGGTTGGGATGGTGTTCTTCGGCTTGCAAGCCTTCCCCTTTTTCCTCCAAACATAACAATGGTCATTATGTTTCCTCCAGCATCTTCACAAGGTCCTTTGCTGTTGTTCTGGGATTGATTTGCACTTTTCGCACCAAAGTACGTTCATCTCTAGGAGACAGAACGCGTCTCCTTCCTGAGCGGTATGACGGATGCGTGGTCCCATGGTTTTTATACTTGCGTACTATTGTTTGTACAGATGAACGTGGTACCTTCAGGCATTTGGAAATTGCTCCCAAGAATGAACCAGACTTGTGGAGGTCTACAATTTTTTTCTGAGGTCTTGGCTGATTTCTTTTGATTTTCCCATGATGTCAAGCAAAGAGGCACTGAGTTTGATGGTAGGCCTTGAAATGCATCCACAGGTACACCGCCAATTGACTCAAATGATGTCAATTAGCCTATCAGAAGCTTCTAAAGCCATGACATCATTTTCTGGAATTTTCCAAGCTGTTTAAAGGCACTGTGAACTTCGTATATGTAAACTTCTGACCCACTGGAATTGTGATACAGTGAATTAAAAGTGAAATAATCTGTCTGTAAACCATTTTTGGAAAAATGACTTGTGTCATGCACAAAGTAGATGTCCTAACCGACTTGCCAAAACTATAGTTTGTTAACAAGAGGTTTGTGGAGTGGTTGAAAAATGATTTTTAATGACTCCAACCTAAGTGTATGTGTCAGCGGCTGATGTGGATGTGGTGTAGAAGTCAGGCGCAGGACACAGAAGCTTCATCCAACAGACTTTACTAGACGACAAATACAAAGTAACGGGCCTCAACTAACCCGGAGGCGAGCGATTACGCAACAGTGTGCAAAACACCAAAATACAAACAGAACACGCAAATAGTGCGTCCGTACTCAAAATCAACGGCACCTAATGACAGGCGGAACACCTACACACAACTCACGACAAACAAAACGAGAAACTTATAGGGGACATAATGAACACTAAAAGGAAACAGGTGTACAAGGAAGACAAAACCAAACAAACATCGATAACATACAACGGTGGCAGCTAGTACTCCGGGGACGACGAACGCCGAAGCCTGCCCGAGCAAGGAGGAGGAGCAGCCTCGGCCGAAACCGTGACAGTATGTAAACTTCTGACTTCAACTTTAGATGTAAACTGGATAGATAGAATATGTACACATGCCGATTTGCAGTTATTACTTGATACCATCCTTAATGACATCACAAAATAATAAACAATTTGACATGATTATTCTTTAGATCCCCACTGACCATTTCCCACATTCTTTTAAGTAGGAATATTGTTTCATTATCCACTTTTGGATGTTGGAGTCTTGGTGGGAAGACTTCCTTTGTCTCACAGGGAAATTCTTTCTTCCCATACTAGAGACCAAAAGGAGTCCTTTTCTGCAAACTATTTATGACCGGCTGTTAAGTCATAAAACTGGTCCCCAGGAAAGGGGGTGTTCAAACCTTTGCCTAGCAGGAATGTTTGATCCTCAACCCATGAGGGCATGTCATGACACTACAGACAAAAGTTGGCAGATCGGCTGTACCGACTTCAGATGAGTCCCCCGACACTTGTGGAGGTCATAGAGCAAAACAGAGAACACCATTGTGCTCGTGAGAGTCTAATCTTTCCATAGAGGAGTCATAGTTTGTAAGCCAAACCATTCGGACACTATAGACGATTTTGTGAGAAGAACGATTTCTCATGGTCTGACAAATACCGCTCTAGCTCTGTCACCTTTCACCGCTGATGCGGAAGTGCGACATATGTGGATTGAGACGCATCCAATGCAACAAAAACATATCTCTAGCTTTTTTATTATTATGCTAATTATATTTACATGCGAGCGTGGACATCAACCTTAGGCGGTTTTAAAGAGTTTCAACCTTTAAAGGCATGAGGTGTGAAAATGTTCTGTAGTTAAAAGACTGAAGCACAGGAAGCATTTAAAGGTTATACATGTAACATTTCTTCCTCAATCAGTAGTAATGAAGAAATACAAATTCACTAGTGAAAAACAGACCAGTCCGGCCAGCTGTTGTGTGTAGGGTACATCTCCCTGTTTTATGATTAGTTCGCATTGGCGAGGTTGACAACATTGCAAAATATTCACATTACAACTCTTCCTTAAGTCCTTGCAACAGTTGTTTCAAAACAGTTTTTGTGAATAAAATGTTAGATATATTTCCTTTAACATCCTGTGTTGTGTGCTTATTATTTTACCATTGATATGTTCTAAGCTATTTTGAGACCTTAAGGAGCAGCAGGTACTGCTGGAATGTCTACCAATGGCATGTCCATCTTTTGGTGAGAAATACCACTGGTCATTTATAAAGTATAAATAGCCCAGACTTTAGATGAGGCCATGCAAAAAGACTTAACTAATGATTAGTAAATGGTTTATAAGGACTTATATTAAGCACCTTATTAATGGAGCAATTATTAATAAATGATGATTAAATTATTTACTCATCCAGAATATATGCTTTATTAAGTGGAGTTATTACAAAGAGCTACTGTTAAGTCTTCTTCCACTGCACGCTGAATGCTGTCTTACTGAGCCACAATGAGCATGACAATTGTTATGAAAAACTCATTAAAGTAGAACGGTATGTGGCTTGAAGTCTGGAACAGTATGTTGTAGCACTTTATATCTATGTTCTTCTTCATGGGTATTGTCATTAATTACTGTAGCAGCCCATCAAATACTAAGCATTCAGTTTATTGTATTATTTATTTCAGAAATCCTCCTCTACCTTCTATGTGTACAGTCGTGGTCAAATGTTTTGAGAATGACACAAGTATTGGTCTTCACAAAGTTTGCTGCTTCAGTGTTTTTAGATATTTTTGTCAGATGTTACTATGGTATACTGAAGTATAGTTACAAGCATTCCATAAGTGTCAAAGGCTTTTATTGACAATTACATTAAGTTTATGCAAAGAGTCAATATTATGGCAAGGTGCTCCATCATGCTGGAAAAGACATTGGTCGTCACCAAACTGTTCTTGGATGGTTGGGAGAAGTTGTTCTTAGGCAAAATTGTGAGTGAGCCCACTCCCTTGGCTGAGAAGCAACCCCACACATGAATGGTCTCAGGATGCTTTACTGTTGGCATGACACAGGACTGATGGTAGCGCTCACCTTGTCTTCTCTGGAAAAGCTTTTTTCCAGATGCCCCAAACAATCGGAGAGGGGATTCATCAGAGAAAATGACTTTACCTCAGTCCTCAACAGTCCAATCCCTGTACCTTTTGCAGAATATCAGTCTGTCCCTGATGTTGCCCTTCTTACATTTACATTTACGTCATTTAGCAGACGCTCTTATCCAGAGCGACTTAAAAACCTTATAGCCAGTGGGATAACCACTTTACAATATATATATATATATATTTTTTTTTTCTTTCTTTGGGGTGGGGTAAGGGGGGGTAGAAGGATTACTTTATCCTATCCCAGGTATTCCTTAAAGAGGTGATGTTTCAGATGTCTCCGGAAGGTGGTGAGTGACTCCGCTGTCCTGGCGTCGTGAGGGAGCTTGTTCCACCATTGGGGTGCCAGAGCAGCGAACTGTTTTGACTGGGCTGAGCGGGAACTGTGCTTCCGCAGAGGTAGGGGGGCCAGCAGGCCAGAGGTGGATGAACGCAATGCCCTCGTTTGGGTGTAGGGACTGATCAGAGCTTGAAGGTACGGAGGTGCCGTTCCCCTCACAGCTCCGTAGGCAAGCACCATGGTCTTGTAGCAGATGCGAGCTTCAACTGGAAGCCAGTGGAGTGTGCGGAGGATCGGGGTGACGTGAGAGAACTTGGGAAGGTTGAACACCAGACGGGCTGCGGCATTCTGGATGAGTTGTAGGGGTTTAATGGCACAGGCAGAGAGCCCAGCCAACAGCGAGTTGCAGTAATCCAGACGGGAGATGACAAGTGCCTGGATTAGGACCTGTGCCGCTTCCTGTGTAAGGCAGGGTCGTACTCTCCGAATGTTGTAGAGCATGAACCTACAGGATCGGGTCACCGCCTTGATGTTAGCGGAGAACGACAGGGTGTTGTCCAGGGTCACGCCAAGGCTCTTCGCACTCTGGGAGGAGGACACAACGGAGTTGTCAACCGTGACGGCGAGATCATGGAACAGGCAGTCCTTCCCCGGGAGGAAGAGCAGCTCCGTCTTGCCGAGGTTCAGCTTGAGGTGGTGATCCGTCATCCACACTGATATGTCTGCCAGACATGCAGAGATGCGATTCGCCACCTGGTTATCAGAAGGAGAAAGGAGAAGATGAGTTGTGTGTCGTCTGCGTAGCAATGATAGGAGAGGCCATGTGAGGATATGACAGAGCCAAGTGAGTTGGTGTAAAGCGAGAATAGGAGAGGGCCTAGAACTGAGCCCTGGGGGACACCAGTGGTGAGAGCACGTGGTGTAGAGACAGATTCTCGCCACGCCACTTGGTAGGAGCGACCGGTCAGGTAGGACGCAATCCAAGAGTGAGCCGCGCCGGAGATGCCCAACTCGGAGGGGATGGAGAGGAGGATCTGATGGTTCACAGTAACAAAGGCAGCAGACAGGTCTAGAAGGACAAGAGCAGAGGAGAGAGAGTTAGCTTTAGCAGTGCGGAGAGCCTCCGTGACACAGAGAAGAGCAGTCTCAGTTGAATGACCAGTCTTGAAACCTGACTGGTTTGGATCAAGAAGGTCATTCTGAGAGAGATAGCAAGAGAGTTGGCTAAAGACGGCACGCTCAAGAGTTTTGGAGAGAAAATAAAGAAGGGATACTGGTCTGTAGTTGTTGACATCGGAGGGATCGAGTGTAGGTTTTTTGAGAAGGTGTGCAACTCTCGCTCTCTTGAAGACGGAAGGGACATAGCCAGCGGTCAAGGATGAGTTGATGAGCGAGGTGAGGTAAGGGAGAAGGTCACCGGAGATGGTCTGGAGAAGAGAGGAGGGGATAGGGTCAAGCGGGCAGGTTCTTGACACCAGGCCATCCTCCAAAAGTCTTCGCCTCACTGTGCGTGCAGATGCACTCACACCTGCCTGCTGCCATTCCTGAGCAAGCTCTGCACTGGTGGTGCCCCGATCCTGCAGCTGAATCAACTTTAGGAGACGGTCCTGGCGCTTGCTTGACTTTCTTGGGCGCCCTGAAGCCTTCTTCACAACAATTGAACCTCTCTCCTTGAAGTTCTTGATGATCCGATAAATGGTTGATTTAGGTGCAATCTTACTAGCAGCAATGTCCTTGCCTGTGAAGCCCTTTTTGTGCAAAGCAATGATGACGGCACGCGTTTCCTTGCAGGTAACCATGGTTAACAGAGGAAGAACAATGATTTCAAGCACCACCCTCCTTTTAAAGCATCCAGTCTGTTATTCTAACTCAATCAGCATGACAGAGTGATCTCCAGCCTTGTCCTCGTCAACACTCTCACCTGTGTTAACGAGAGAATCACAGACATGATGTCAGCTGGTCATTTTGTGGCAGGGCTGAAATGTAGTGGAAATGTTTTTTGGGGGGATTAAGTTCATTTTCATGGCAAAGAGGGACTTTGCAATTAATTGCAATTCATCTGATCACTCCTCATAACATTCTGGAGTATATGCAAATTGCCATCATAAAAACTGAGGCAGCAGACTTTGTGAAAATTAGTATTTGTGTCATTCTCAAAACTTTTGACCATGACTGTATGTATGAGTGTGAGTGGACGGGTGTGTGATGTTGTGGTGCTGATCAGGTCAAGTTATCAATCCTGTTCACAGGGTTGGTTAACTCTGGAGACTCCTTTGGTGTCTTCAGAGTTAGATAAATCCGTCTTTGGTTTTTCTTCTCCATATGTATAATCTCCCAAAAATATGACACCTTATTGTCCCTGGGGCAGTTTAGAGAGTGGACAGGGAATTTTATAATGAAGAATGTGTTTGTTTTGTGTATATTTATGTTTGTCTGTATTTGTGTCGTGCTGTATTTAACTTGATTTATATTGTATTTGATTTTTTTTGTTCTATTAAATTGTATATGCAGGGCTCCCTTGAAAAAGAGACACTGGTCTCAATGGTGACTCCCTGCTAAAATATAAATAAAATACAAATAAATAAAGGTCCTCTGTTTTCTCAGTTGTACATATGACTAGATATGTATTACTACACTGGTTATAAAGCTTCCCAAAGTTTTTGGACAGACATTTCTATCTGTTCCCCAATCAGAGGGACACCGCAATCTAACACGCAATATCCAGCATGCCATCGCTTTAGTTTGACCTGTTTGCCTTTGAAAGAGTTTTCATTACATCTTTTGTTATTTTCATCTCATTCCAATGATGTCTGGTTTGTTGTTTTGGTGTGGGTAGAAGGTCAGAGGTAACCTTGGAGACCTTGACCCCTAACCTCTCTCTGCTCTCACCTTCCTCCAGGGAGAAATGGTGTCATATGACCCAGGAAGAGAAAGATGACAGCTCCAAAGTCGACGAGAATATTGCCTTTGGCCAACTGGGGTGAGTGAGGGGACATACTCAACCCTATGGATAAAAAAACAAACTTTTAAGTAACATTCCATCTGAGGAGTAGAGGAATCTGCATGGTTTGTATATCTCATGGTCAGTTAACTCTTTGTGTCTGCTTTCAGGACATTCACTCACAACATGCTGGCTTTTGGGCTCAGTAAGAAACTCTGCAATGACTTCCTGAAGAAGCAGGCAGTCATTGGGAATCTAAATGAAGGTACCCCTACATGAACCAACCTTCCTCACATCAATAAGATCAAATGGGTCATTTGGTTATCTGCCACACTTCCTTTCTTTTCATATAATGTACTTTGTTTCACCTGTTTAAACTGTTTTAATCTTATTAAAAACCATTATTAGTCTGCCAAATAATCATCTTTACCATGTGAAGCAAAAAATAAGCTCCATTGCATTAATACAGGCTTTTTTGCTGAATGAGACTAATGATATTTATAACTGGAAAAACGTGCTTAGTGGTTTTGATTGAAAAGAGCTCTCTGTTTCTCTCTCTTACAGAGCAGTACAAGCTGTTGAGCGACCACATTGAGCAGATGGCCACGGAGTGAGTGGCAAAGAATGACACGCTTCAACCTCAAAGACTACTTAGTACACTATCAACAGTAATTAGCTGAAGCTACCAAGCCCTCTGTACCCAACACCCAGTATATCTCCTCCTCCCTCTCTAGTGTTGTGAAGGCTCACCAATAACTCCGTATTCCATCAATATCGAGTACAGTAAACTCCAATCACATATTTCAGTAAATTCTCCATAACCTGCAACAATAACTAACACAAAAGCTTTTATCAGAGTAATAGTAAACCTGCACCTGCATAGTCAATATTCCAGCTTCACCAACCAACATACTGTAACCTACCCTCTCCTGGGCACTGTAAACAAGGACGTTCACCCTATTACATTTACATTTTAGTCATTTAGCAGATGCTCTTATCCAGAGCGACTTACAGTTAGTGAGTGCATACATTTTTCATACTGGCCCCCCATGGGAATCGAACCCACAACCCTGGTGTTGCAAGCGCCATGCTCTACCAACTGAGCTACAGAAGGCCTATCTCTATTACATTATTTTATACTGACACTAATAAGTCCGTTCCTCATAGGTCATTATTTTACTGTATAGTTGGACTATTTCAGCCATGTCAGCATCCTTTAACCCATTTTACATAATCACGCGGCCTCTCTACACCTCTGTGTAACCGGCCCAGGCTCCCTACAGCCCTTCTCCTCTAGTCTTCCATGTCCCCTGACTACAGTATACATACAGTATATATATTTTAGATATAGATATACTGTAACCTGCTCCTTGCACATATCCTATAAGTAGTATTATTTCTATTGTTTGCAATAGTGACCTTTTATGATCTTGGAGCATAAGCTCCTCTCTGCCCAAAGTCGAAGTGCCTTGAATGTACCCGTGGGGAAGTTTCCTTTCTGTTTCAATGGTAATCAATGCAAGTCTCAATTGTAACAATCTGTAAAACCACTTGATACAATATCCTGTTCATGATACTACCATCTACCATCTATATACTAAGTGTCAGCAGATTTCCAATAATGTCAAATTCTCATGCTCAGTGTCCTCTGTGTTTAGTGATTATCATGGTGTTAGATCGTGGCTAGTGAAAGTGCAGTGTGTAGTGGTGAGAGGCTGCAGCATGGCTTCAAGCAGCAGTCCCATACCTTCTGTTTTATTCCTAGAGTAGCCTTGTCCTGAGGTCTCTGTGCTATATGCATGGCATTCATCCTTGCCCTTATTAGTGTGCAACAAGCATTGTGCAAATGGCGCATCATGCAGCAAGGGCGTCAATGTTTTCTTTGCATTATTTAAGCCCACCAGAGGGCAGCCTGGTGACTTGTTCAGAGCACTTCATTTATCAATGGAGTTAAAAGTTTAAAAACTACTGTGTGGATCCAGCTTTTGAGGGAGACATAAGCAAATTATATAATTCTTGACATCTTGGAGCATTGACATTTCAGAACTATGTGAATACAGAGTGTTGTAAAACAGCAATTATGATTATTGTAAATTTTTCTCACCTCTGGATTGAAGTACTGGAAAGTTCTTTTTTAAATGAATCTATTGTCTATATCAATTGATTTTGTATTTATATTGTATTTTTTTCACCCATGTTTTATTATGTTCAAAGACTTGTTTATCACTGGTTTTGTGTCATATCTGCTGGTGAATGACTATGTAACTGATTATGGTCATTGTGTTTTGACGTCTATCTCAGTGGCAACTAAAGCTTTCCACTTATTAAGACCCTAAAGTGCCCTCATAATTCCTCCCATAGGAGTGGTCCATTCAAGTGCTAGACCAAACTATATGTGTGCTATGTGTAAAATGTTTAGTATAAAGTATTCGTTAGTTACAATGTGTAGTTGCATATGATGCGTAGTAGTTGTAGTTCTATGCCTTGTCTTGGAGACGTCTCTCTCTCTCTTTCTCTCTCTCTCGTGGGCTGTTTAGCAGAGGACCAGCTTCTTGCCACAAGGTGGCCCTTGTGTTCTGCTCTGTCTCAGTTGATTCCCTTGGATTGCAATGCTGCTCCCTGCTTCAAGTCTGGATCTGACCTTCTGTTCAGCAATCAGACATTTTGTGCATATGCATGTGATGTCCTCTATTGCCATACTGCTGAATGACTTACCCCTTTGTTTTGTGGCTGTGTGCAGTTTTAGTTTAGCACCAAGCCCTCCTGTGTGTTTGTATTGCTATGTGCACTCTGGCCTTTCAGTATTGTTGAAATGCAGACCAACCCTCAGCCCTCTAATACTGGGAATGCTTCACCTGCTTTTCATGTTGCATCTCTCACGAAAAGTGTTGTGCTTTGTTTGTCTGAACAGTGGGCAGTGGTGGTATAATTTGACCAGTTGTAACTAGCGCCTGATACCTAGTCATGGACAAGCCTTGTGTCTTTGGAGGTTAAACAAACTTTGGCTAGGAGAATATAGCCTACCCTTCTTTTTAATGAGCGGGGAAAGAGCCTCTTACAGGTAGCTGTTATTCACAATGTCCTCCCACTTCCATTGTCCAATGGTGGCTGAGATTGCATGGATGTGTAATTATGATGGAATAAGTAGCTGATGCTGTAATAAATATATTTTTTAATGTGGACGCTTTTAGAGTCGTGTCTGTGTGAGAGCACGCGAGAGAGTGTATAAAAGAGTATAAGACGGGATGTTTGAATTAGAGGTGTTTGGGAAGGAGAGCTCCCATGTGTAGGTTAGGAAGAGAGGTCTGTGTGCACTCCAGTGTGTGAGACTGAGTCAATGTGAGCATGATTCAGAGTGGGACCATGTAGTAGCACAATGTGAGAGGGTTTTAGACCCTGGCCCAAACTGCCAAATTACTGCCATTCCTGCTGCTGCATGTAAATATACAGTTGTCACGCTGGCTGCTCACGGATTGGACAAAATATAATGAGCAGTGAAAGCTCAGTCAGTGGTGTCACACAATGAGGGCTTCTCTCTCTCTGAATCCCAGACCTACGAGCTAGATGTCACATACTCACAACACCCTCTCCACATTTACACCACACCTTCCTTTTCCCACATTGCACTTTGATATGTAGTCTATTATACTGAAGAAACATTTTGTATTGTGACAACTCGTCTGTCTGTGCGGTAACTAGTGTCTTGTCTTTCTGTAAGAGAGTTTTATTCTATGTGAGTATGCTTTGCTGTTTGGGGACACTGTGAGGGAGAGGGTAAGAGTTTTATAAATACCTGAGTAAGTTTGGCTGGTTAATGACGTCTTTACCAGTCTGTAGGCTAGTAATAGGAGGTTGGTGGAGGTGGACCTTGCAGGGAGCCGGCTGCATTCTTGGATCCCGCTGAGGTTGGCTGCTCTGGAGTCAGGTTAATTCCTGGATTAAGTGTGAGACTCGTGTCAACGTGGTCATGGACGGGGTGGCAAGCCTCGAGTTATGGGTCCTAGGGTGTTCACACACACATACATATCTAAAATATTTATTCAGTAGTGGGTACTATAAAAAATCTGAACACTATGAAGTTGATACACGCACTCACTTACATGCTCGTTTACACTCACGGATGCACACACACATACACACTTGATCTCTCTCTTCTCTCTCTCTCTCCTCTCTCTGTTGTCGAGAACTTTCTATAATTCAATATGTTTCTTGTTTGTTTATCTTTTGTATGTCTTAGTCTACATGTTTATCTATGTTTACAATAAGCAATGGGAAGATATCAGAACAGGGACGTTGGGGAATAACATTGTACGGGATACATTTGTACTGTAGTGAAGCCGTCTCTATAGTAATGCAATGTCTCTTTCATAATCATGTGAAACATCAGTTACTATGGAAATGCTGGGATGTGTTTTTCTATGAATATGATGTTTAATGCAACTATGATGTTGATACTACAGTTGAAGTCGGAAGTTTACATACACTTAGGCAGGAGTCATTAAAACTCGTTTTTCAACCACTCCACACATTTCTTGTTAACAAACTATAGTTTTGGCAAGTCGGTTAGGACATCTACTTTGTGCATGACACAAGTCATTTTTCCAACAATTGTTTACAGACAGATTATTTCACTTACAGTGAGGGAAAAAAGTATTTGATCCCCTGCTGATGTTGTACCTTTGCCCACTGACAAAGAAATTATCAGTCTATAATTTTAATGGTAGGTTTATTTGAACAGTGAGAGACAGAATAACAACAAAAAAATCATATTTGCATTTTAATGAGGGAAGTAAGTATTTGACCCCCTCTCAATCAGAAAGATTTCTGGCTCCCAGATGTATTTTATACAGGTAACGAGCTGAGATTAGGAGCACACTCTTAAAGGGAGTGCTCCTAATCTCAGCTTGTTACCTGTATAAAAGACACCTGTCCACAGAAGCAATCAATCAATCAAATTCCAAACTCTCCACCATGGCCAAGACCAAAGATTGTAGACCTACACAAGGCTGGAATGGGCTACAAGACCATCGCCAAGCAGCTTGGTGAGAAGGTGACAACAGTTGGTGCGATTATTCGCAAATGGAAGAAACGCAAAGAACTGTCAATCTCCCTCGGCCTGGGGCTCCATGCAAGATCTCACCTCGTGGAGTTGCAATGATCATGAGAACGGTGAGGAATCAGCCCAGAACTACACGGGAGGATCTTGTCAATGATCTCAAGGCAGCTGGGACCATAGTCACCGAGAAAACAATTGGTAACACAGTACGCCGTGAAGGACTGAAATCCTGCAGCGCCCGCAAGGTCCCCCTGCTCAAGAAAGCACATATACAGGCCCGTCTGAAGTTTGCCAATGAACATCTGAATGATTCAGAGGAGAACTGGGTGAAAGTGTTGTGGTCAGATGAGACCAAAATGGAGCTCTTTGGCATCAACTCAACTCGCCGTGTTTGGAGGAGGAGGAATGCTGCCTATGACCCCAAGAACACCATCCACACCGTCAAACATGGAGGTGGAAACATTATGCTTTGGGGGTGTTTTTCTACTAAGGGGCCAGGACAACTTCACCGCATCAAAGGGACGATGGACGGACGGGGCCATGTACGTCAAATCTTGG